AATTTGAACTAAACCTGTTTATCACATAGTGAGGGTGTGGAGATTAAAAAAATCATCACCAAGAGGGGGATTTTGTTTTATACTGATGGGTTTAATTCATAAGTAGCAGATCATCATACTGAAGTAGCAGAAAAGGTCGCTGCACATGGCTGCCATCTTTTTGCAGGAGAAAGTAGCTAATGCATGCTCAAAAGTTTGCCCGAAGTTGCCAGATTACATCTTGGACTAATTTGCATATTCATTGGATTGACATAATCATTTATGTCATATCATAACATGTTACAAGTAGAGGCAAGATTTTCTGAATAAAAAATCCATCCATTCATACATCCATTCTCTGTACTGCGTATCCTACACAGGGTTGCATGGTAACCTGGAGCCTATCCCATGGGGGCACAAGGTGGGGTGCCAACCCATCGCAGGGCACCATTGCACACACACCCATTCACACACTACTGACAATTTGGAAATGACAATACGCCTACAACTCATGTCTTTGGACTGGAGTACCTGGAGGAAACCCCTGAAGCACGGAGAGAACATGCAAACTCCGCACACACAGAACCCCCAACCCCGGAGCTGCGAGGCAACAGTGCTAACCACTAAGCCACCATGCCCTAGAATAGAATATATGAAATAGAAAAAAGAAAATAAGCAAGGAATAACACATGAAAGAGTGTACTGTTATACAAAAATAATACGTGCAGGGGTGGTGTACAACGAGAAGCAAAGCACCCCAAATACACCCCAAATATTACTATTTTCATATACCGCCATGGTCCAGGAGTGTTATTCCACTTATACCATTGCTCTTTGCCAACAATTACAATGTTTAATCTTTATTGAACAGCACATGATGCTTTTAACTGCATATAGTTAATATTGTTAACTTGAGACAAGTTGGTTCCTGTTATCACTTACATTATAGTGACAATAAACAGTCATTCCCTCCTTAGCCTCTCTCTCTCTCTCTCTCTCTCTCTCTCTCTCTCGACTTCGCCTATATTAGCATATACGGTGTATATACATACTCAGTGTATGTATGTGTGTGTGTATATATATATTGGTTGGTGCCCGATGGGCTGGTTTGAGTATTTCAGAAACTGCTGATCTCCTGGGATTTTCACACAAAACAATCTCTAGAGTTTAAACAGAATGGTGCAAAAAACAAAACACATTGAGTGAGCGACAGTTCTGTGCGTGGAATCACCTTGTTGCTAAGACAGTTCAGAGGCGGCACTGAATGGAGTGAACGTGTTTTTATAGCTCTCCACAAATCTTAGATACTTTATGTCAATATACCTTGTACCTGTTTAAGTATCACTAGTTGTTATTACTGAATACTCTGTGCAATGCCGGCAGAGCAAAAGAAACCTGATAAATTGAATACCGAAGAGACAGAAGGCACAGATGTTCACGAGGAGCCGTCGGCTAACGCTAATCAAGCTAATGTTGAAGCAGCTGTGCCAACAAACAAGGACATTATGGAAGCGATAGTGAAATTGAACAGTTCATTTGAAAGAAGGTTCGATGTCCTTTTATCCACTTTATCAGAACTGAATGGATCACTCACTAGTATTTCCACCAGAGTTGCAGCGACTGAAGAGGCAGCAAAGGCCCACGAAACTCGCATCGAATCTTTGTAGAAACGGTGTGCATATCTGGAGGCCGAATGTGGAAAGCTTAAAGAAAAGACCTGCGACGAGTCAGGATCTCGACGACAAAATATTCGAATTGTCTGTATAAAGGAAGGTGTTGAAAATGGGAAACCTACCGAGTTCATGACAAGTTTGCTGACACAGATACTTGGTGAGGAGAATTTCGACCGACCAATTCAGATCGACAGGGCACACCGCTCGCCACAACCCCTCAGAGATGGCCGGTCTCGGGCATTTATTGTTCGAGTTCATCATTATCAAGTAAAAGAACGCATTCTGCGCCTGGCAAGATCGAAACCCCTGCAACACGATGGTAAAGCAACACGTATCTTTCCAGATCTTGCCGCTGACGTCTTAAAACATAGACAGAAGTTTGACAGCATCAGGAAGAAATGCAGGGAGCACGAAGTGAGATGCGGATTTCGTTTTCCTTCTAAGTTTCTCGTGACTGTTAAGGATAAAGAAACGAGGTCTTTTGATTCACCTGAGTTTGCTGAAACCTATCTACGGAGTGCGGTGGAAAACTGGTGAAATGACGAAATCGCTGCGTTGGACAACGGAGTCAGTAGAGACTTGTGTGAAAATAATTAGGTTCGATATATTGAGTCTTTATACACTATATTACCAAAAGTATTCGGTCACCTGCCTTGACTCACATATGAACTTAAGTGCCATCCCATTCCTAACCCATAGGGTTCAATATGATGTCGGTCCACCTTCTGCAGCTATTACAGCTTCAACTCTTCTGGAAAGGCTGTCCACAAGGTTGAGGAGTGTGTTTATAGGAATTTTTGACCATTCTTCCAAAAGCGCATTGATGAGGTCACACACTGATGTTGGTCGAGAAGGCCTGGCTCTCAGTCTCCGCTCTAATTCATCCCAAAGGTGTTCTATCGGGTTCAGGTCAGGACTCTGTGCAGGCCAGTCAAGTTCATCCACACCAGACTCT